TATAAATTAGCTTATCAGCTTTTACCAAACATAGCCTAAATTACCAAAATTTGTAATGTGTGATAACAAATTATAGTATGAATAAATTATTTTAAATAAACTTACATTTGTAAATGCTAAAATTCATTAAAAAAAATAAAACTATGTTTTTAAACAGTTTATGAGATAACAATACATTCACTTCTCAACAAGCATTAGTCTCTGTTTAGAGATAAACCAATTGTCTCAGTCCAAAAGTTGTCCTAAAAGATTTGCCTCATTATAGCATCATAAATAACTGCATGCAGGAGATAGATACATTTGACTATTGATTGATTGATGAACAAAATTCACCCTCAAAATAGCAAAGATTCATATATCATACATAAAAATCACACAAATTTACAAACACACACAAACCCACATAAAGAAACAAAAAAAACAATGCCAAACAACAAAGGGGTTATCATCAATGTCTATGTAGAATCCCAAAACCTCAATACCAACAAACAAACTGATCCCATCAAGAAAATAAATGCAAAGCTAATACCTTCCAAGCCTCGCGCTTTCAAAACGCGCGGTTATGACCGACGAGCGCAACTCCTTGCCTACGCTCACGAGCTAAGGCAAGCAAATGCAGAACAAACACAATGTGCCTTCAACAATTCAAGGCAAAAACCGAAGGCAATTGCTATTAGTATTCGTATTCTTTTGCATTTTTCATCGTTATTCATTTATTTATTTATTTTTTGTGTGTGCGTGTTTTCTGCAGTAACGCGTAATATAGCATTAAATTTATAAAGCAAGGGATACTGATAATATTTCTATATATACAATCGTGTAATCAGAAAAGGAGGTGGCTACTACCCGCACGTAGGGTGAGAGTATTTTTGTCGTGGTTTGATGGAATAAGGAGAAGGTGGGGATACGAGCAAATAATTACAGAGGATTATGGCGATGGTCAAGAGAGGATGAAGAGAACAAAGAAAGGAATTTGTTCTCGTTTTTGTGTAAGTTCTTTTGGTTATGTTGTTGATCATGCTATTTTTTATATATGTTTTAATGTAATTAATGTAATGCTTCATCATATTTTTTATAGGTTTTTTAATTTTGTGTTCATTATTGTGATTTTTATGCAGAAAAATCTGAGGTGTTTCTTGAAGAAATGCAGGGTTTGGAAGTGCAAGAATGGGGGCTGTTGATGACCAATTGATATATTATTATTTTTGATATAGTTCTTTGATTATGATTTCATTTTTATAATATATTGGACAATCAACTAAATGTGAACTAGCCAAGCTACAATAAACCAAAGCTTAGTTTGTGCTGGTTTGTTTCGGTTTTTAGGTATATAGTCTTTATATTTGTTTGACAAGCATAGCCTCATTAAGAATTTTAAACACAATCAAGTTAGCCAAAACCTTGTGTGTTTGAAGTGAAACTGTACACAAGATAAAAATCGTTGTATCTTGGAGATGTTTGTCGAAAACTGTGGGCGTTGATTAATTAGTGGCAATTTTGTCTCACAGAATACTCTCTGGTTGTTCCCGAGTAAAACAACAATATGTGAAGGCATATGGAGTTGGATGTTTGGTATCGTAATGATTCATTTTTTTTTTCCTATATCTTCGATTAAGACGTTTAACGAGTTGTGGAACTCTTTAAAAGCAAGTACAAAATAGAAGACAACTAAGTAAGAATTTTTGTCTGTAAGTTTCTCTTAAGTACGATAGGTTGACACAAAGTTGGTGATTAATCAAACTGAAAAGATTCACGTCATCCTTTCGAGAGACTGATT